ATCTGTAGTCTGGGCGCCGAGCGCCAGATAGGATATCAACATTGGTTCTTCGTTGATGATGACGATGAGACTATTCCAGCATTGTCAATTATGAGCTTTTGGTGTGCTCTTATTTGGTGAAACTCGTGATGCAATTCTGCTTTTGGTTCGAGGTCACGACTATCTGGTCTCATGTGTATGATGCTGTTTGATTGCTGAAGTTCGCTATTGCTCATCTTCCTTGCACAGTTCATTCTTCTTCACATTGACCTTTACAACGTGGGCAAGAAAAACGGAAGTGTTGAACGAAAAAAAACAAAAAAAACAAAAACCAGAAAACATTTCAAAACAACTGTTTACTTTCGCCTTTGCATGCGCTCCAAGCTTCTTAAAAAGGAAATCATTTCAAAACAACTTTTTACCTCCAAAAACAGGAGGAAAAAACACACACAAAAAAACATGTTTACCTTCTTCTTCGTGTGTGCTCCAAACTTCATAAGTGCTTCTGGAATCTCCTGACCCGCCTCTCTCAAGACATTCATCAATTCACCTGCTCTCAACTGAGAGATTCATATGCAAAAAAAGCACGACAGCAACACAGGCCCATCATTCGTCAGTTTGCCTCTACTTACCTACTCCATCTAAAACCTGCAGCTTTTCGTTCTCCCACTCCTTATCTCCCACTACTCCCCTTTTCTACACTTCTACACCCTCCTCTTCTCTTTGAATTCTCTTAGTCTACCTGCTCCTCGTTTTCCTCCTCCTCCTCCTCCTCCTCCTCCTCCTCCTCATTATCATCATCACACTCATCACCATTACCATCATCATCGTTATCAATATCATCTTCAACATCACCGACAATGTGACCATTTCATTTCTTGTTTCATTTTTTTATTTTTTTTTAACTCTATATAGTATTATACTATATTCTTCTCTCAATCTTCTTTGTACATATTTTTTCCTCATCTATCTCATCCTCTCACTACTCTATGCATATTACAGGGGAACACCAACCAAATTGTGATTTTCTGAAGCACTATGAAGACGTTGAAAGTACTCTGGGAAAACTTTTTAGGTTGTGCATCGTTTCAAAAATACAAACAACCTTTGGACAAGCAAGGTTCATTTTTCAAAACTTGCAACCATACCCATCCCAATGGCTGAATGGGGGTAAACACCATTTCACCATTTTGACGAACAGCGGGGGTAAACACCATGTCACCATTTTGACGAACAGGTGACAAGTTCAAGACCTGATGGAGTCAGAACTCAGAACTTCAGAAGTATACAAACCAGGTTAGGGATCACCTCATCTCTTCCAAAAACGAAACCAAATTCGACAAGAAGAACTAACAAACGATTTTACAAGTATGTTTTGAAGGCATCTGCTGGTGCAATCACATCCGGAAGCCTGGGCCCAGTCCAGACAGTCTGATGTCTGGTGCCCAAACGGATCAACGAGTTCTACGGTACCCATCAGCATCAGCATCAGCATCAGCATCAGCATCTTTAACATCATGATGATCACCATCATCATGGTGATCATTACCGTTGTCATCGAGAGGCACCCATAGGCGCCGCTAGACAGACCTTATAGATAGATCGCTTCGCGACTGCTCGCTCTGGTCAACTTCACGATTATCATCATTAACAACCATTATATTATCATCACCATCTCCATCGTCCTCGTCCCTTTGATGTCATCATCATCATCATCATCATCATCATCATCATCGAGTTTCCCTCCTTTCCTCTTTACCTGCTTCTCCAAGCAAAAAACGCCATCTTGTGAGCAACTGCCAGCCGAATGGAGTGGGAAAATTGCAAACGTAAGAGAGATGCGTAAGTGAACAAAACCTCGAAACTTGTGGTTGTCGACTACGCTCCACATGTGTTGGTAGTCTCTAAGAGGTGCGAGGGGAGAGTGGAGTTCGTTGGGAAGATGCGGATTATTACCAGATATTTAGCGGCTTGCTTGTGAAGATATGGAGAAGTGGTAGAGAGATAGGGAGGTACCTCTAGGAAAGGGGGAGGATGGGGAGACAGACAAACAGGTAGGGAAGAGGGCGAGAGAGACGAGAGAGAGGAGGAAGACGGAGAGAGAGAGAAGAGATAGAGGAGGAAGAGGGAGAGGGAGAGAGCGACGAGATAGACGAGGAAGAGGGAGAGAGAGGAGATAGAGGAGGAAGAGGGGGGGAGAGACGACACAGAGGAAGAAGAGGGAGAGAGAGAAGAGATAGAGGAGGATGGAGGGAGGAGATAGAGTGGTAAGGATGGGAGAGGAGGAGGATGGTGAGAGAGACAGACAGACAATCAGGTGGGAAGAGTGAGAAAGAGAAGAGAAAGAGGATGGATGGAGGGAGGGAGAAGAGGAGGAGGGACAACAAACCTTGTCAGACATAGTGAAAAACGTATGTGAAACACCCTTTTTTCCAGCCCTTCCTGTCCTGTGGATCCGAAAGAACATAGAAGCATGAGAAAGCCATCAACAAGGTGAACACCAAAACAAGGTACCTAATACCTATATTCACCCGGTACTGCCGGGCCTTAGCTAAACTCTTTCCAAATCTGTCTATCATGGTAAAACACATATTACACAGATGAGACCACCTCTCTCTCATATACTCGGGGCATACTCGCACTAGGACTTTTCCGACTCAATTGTGGACACAATTGCGGTCAGATTCATCCATAGCCGGCAGCATTTGCAGTCAAATCCTCTAGGAGAGTCCTGGTGATGGAATGGTCATGCGGACCCGCTTTTTTTTTTGTCACATGTTTGTCATGAGCAGCCAGGCATGCTGGAAATCAAGGTCAATCCGAAAGGGCCAAGAGTTGAGAAAGAGCACAACAGAAGACGACCAAAGACACATTGCCAGATACACACCCACAGACAAGTGGGTGACTGACTGCAGAGACTCGACTTACACTTTTGCAGGGGGAAAGGGAGGGAGAATGGGGGGAGACAGGGGGGTTGGGGGGCAAAGGTAGACATGGAAGAAAAGTTATGAACAACCCTCCCCCCCCACACACACAAGAAGCCTGACGAAACAGTCTGGCACAGTCATGCTTTTCTTGTGTATAGTGAATACCACAACACACACACACACACACACACACACACACACACACACACACACACACACATGTAAATTGGGCACAAGGCAGTTGTACAGCAGTCGAAAGATATCTGCAATTTTCTCTTTATCGTTCCCGTTTCAATGGATGTCCCCTGCACTAGGATGAGAGGGAGGGGGGTGTCCGGGTGGGGTAGGGAGGGAGGAGCCTCAAGAAAAGGGAGAAAAAGAAAGGGGAAAAAGAAAAGAAAAACCGCAATTTTTTTGCAGACTTCGAATTTTCAAGGGCATAGGCCCTCACATCTTTATCCACCTGATTCCGTCAGAATTCGAACTAATGATCTGTCCATCAACAGTTAGATGTGCATGTAACCATTCAGACACATGCGGTGCCTTTAAAAAAAAAAAAAAAAAAAAAAAGCAGCCTTCTCCTCATTGGGGGACAGCCATGTATTTTTCTCTCACCCTACACATTTTTTTAAATGACTACCTACCTACCACTACTCCTAAGGCTATATAGGGGACCCCTGCAAGCATACCTTTCTACCCCCCACATGGGGTGCATATTTTACAGCACACTCACCTCGATTAACAAAATGAAGAATGCCCGGGCAGGAAGAACAGGTGAGGAGAGCAGTGAGGAGAGCAGTTCTGGTTATTTAATATTTATAGTATTTTATACATCATACATACAGCACAGAAAAGTTATAAACTGAAAACTTTATTGCCAACTAATGCGTAGCATGACGGCAAGTGCAGCACAGAGGTGCGACGGCATTTGTGATGTCACTTTACGACGGGAGGTTACCATAACGAACGCAGTAACACCACTTCCCCTTAGCACACAGCTCCCCCCTTCTCAAAATTGCCCTATAAGGCTTCCCAGTTTCACTCCCTTTTCACAATTCCCCTTCAGGGCTGGCCAGTTTTTGCAGATGGAATCATGGAAGAAATTACTGTGGGTTTTGGGTTGGCAATTTAAGGTACCAACAGATTTTTTTTAAAAGGCCCCCCTGCAGTAACCACACTGGTCACAAATATCGGGTAGCGGATTAAGGCAGCTACATACCTGCCAATCCGATGAACGTAGTCCTCCGTTGTCAGCGGGAAACTGTAGTTGATCACGTATTCCACATCTGGAATATCAAGACCTCGTGCCGCAACATCTGTTGCAATCTGACCCCACAAGTTTCACAGTTCAAAAAATGAGTTTGTTGCAGCCATAGCCGTGTCAACAATCAGACAGCACATCAAAGAAACCCCAACACCTCCGTGTCCATTACCTCAGCACACTTCCAAATCTTCTTCCATTGCACCCCCCCCCCCCCCCCCCCCCCCCCCCCCCCCCCCCCCCCCCCCCCCTCTCTCTCTCTCTCTCTCTCTCTCTCTCTCTCTCTCAGTTCGTTGGTAGGTGTCAGTCTGTCAGTCCAAAATGCAGCTCCTTCCCAGGAAGGTCCGTAACATTCCCAAAGCATCAAAAACAGACCGCTGCTGGCAGGCCAAAGAGTACCCCTCCAAAAAGACCGAAAATGGGGGACTGCTGCAACTGCAGCAATTCCATACAGACAGCATCAGCAAAACGTGTCCATCCCTCATGTCTAACGCACACATGCTGTTCCATTCTTGTGAGGGACACAGCAAGTGAGGTTGCAAGGCAGAGTAGCGTAGTAGACGACACTGAGCACCAAAGCTGATAGCAAGAGAGAGTGAGGTTGAGAGAGATGACATTCAGAGAGTGTGAGCGGGGCCTGTGCGAGAGAGTAGACTAGCAGGGGAGAGAGAGGGAGAGAAACACGGAGAAAGAGAGACACAGAGAGAGAGAGAGAGAGAGAGAGAGAGAGAGAGAGAGAGAGAGAGAGAGAGAGAGAGAGAGAGAGAGTTACCTGAGTATGAGATTGGCGACCATAGCCACAGGCGTGTGCATGCACGAGACTTGTTCTACAACTTGAACTTCTAGCAATCTCCAAAGTGTTCTCATCTCATATCAGTGTGCTCTCTTGTGTGCAAGCTTAAATGTGATGAAGACTGAATCGTGAGTTTAAAGTTGTGTGTGAAATGTGGGATCATTGCAGTTACTTTGCAAACAAGAAAACACAAATTCCCATAACTTTGCAGAATTTTGCTAAAATGACATCTATATAGAGACACCAAGGGTTGTGCAAAAATAAAAGGAAGCAATCAGACTTCCTTGAGGTTTACAAAGGGCAACGGGTCATTCGAAAGTCCTGTGAAATTGTGGAAAGGCAGCTCTCTCTCTCTCTCTCTCTCTCTCTCTCTCTCTCTCTCTCTCTCTCTCTCTCTCTCTCTCTCTCTCTCTCTCTCGCGCGCGCGCGCGCGCGCGCGCGAGCGGGGCTTCTGGTTCAAGAACCAACGGCCTGATTGCTTCCAATAGAAACAAGATATCATAGAATTTCCCTAAACTCACCATGGTGGTGGTAGTCGTGCATGCGAACGACCACTGATGAAGTGAGAGTCAACAGACAGATTGTGCAGCGGTGCATATCGAGGGCCGCTTCCATCTCTGCTTTGGCAAAAGGGAAATATGAACACCCTCAACTTACCAGTAAAGGAACACTCCCGTCCTTGAAGGAGTTTACGGCATTGGTACGATCTGTTTGGCCCTTATCTCCATGAACTGCCACGACGTTCCACCCTCTGCATCATCACAAGCAAACATCCAACAGTACACGAAAGGACACGTACTGTATCACGTAACTTATTGTTTTTCCTTCAGGAAAGGCGGCAGCCTTTAAAATGATTGCATACATCTCATTCTATAAGGATTTGAGCTCGCAATATGTTTTCTCACAGTTGTATTTGTGAAGCATACAACAGTTACAACCACACAGGCTGGGTATTGCATCGCAGAAGTTCACATAAGTGAAACATCGGGAAAGAATAAAAAACAAAAACAAACTGCACGATACCCGCTTTAAACCAATGCACAAAATGCATTTAACAACATGCATGACTAAGAAGATACACAGGCGTTTGCACTGACAATTCTCTCAAACAATCATTTGTCAAATGAACCCCTCTTCCTGAGAAGCCCTTCCTACACCATCTCTACCCTCCCACGCCAACCCTTCAGCACACAACCTCCCTACCCCCTGCACAACCTTGGCATTCTGTGTTTTCCCTTTTCTTTTTTTTCTTTTTTTTCTTTTTTTTCCCTTTTTTCTAGGTTACCAGTCGTCCGATGGCCGGACGTTTCGGCCGGATGTCTCCCCCAACTGTCCGGTAGGGGGGTTGTCCGGGATCCCAGACAACCACTTTTTGACATTAAAAAAAAAAATAAAAAAAAATGAAAGTGTTGCGCATGCCATAGAGATCCCCCATAAAAAAATTCAGAATTTTCTGAGCATTTGGTGATAGGGTGCTATTTGGGGTGGGAGGGGGGGGTGCGAGGGGTTTTGGTGGGGATAGGAGGGGTATAGCTGGGGATTAGAAACTTTGAAGATTTTTATCTTTTTTTCTACTGGCTCAAATGAGGCTTTTTTTTTTTTTTGAAAACACAAAGCCCCTTCTATTCTGGGGGGCATCGGTCGGGTTAATTTTCATAGCCAAGCATGTATGTACAGCAAAGAGGGAGAAAAGACGACAAGACAAGATCAGCCTAGCCCTTCCGGCTCTAGCTGCCTATACAAGGTGGGGATATTACTGAGCGTCCCCTCCCCAACCCATTGCCCTTCTTGGGGGCTGTCCTGCTGGTCGGGAGGCTTACTAGCAGCACCCAGTCGCAAAGCAGGATGGCCTCCAGAAGAGCAGGGTGCGGGGGGGGGACGTTCCTAGCAGCTCTCAGGCTGCAGCACCCAGTTGCAAAGCAGGATGGCCTCCAGAGAAGCAGGGTGCGAGGCGTTCCTAACAGCTCCTCAGGCCGCATGTCTGTTTGCCCGTGTCAAATCCTTGTCTCCTCCAGCATGTCTCCACATACCTAATTCAAAAAGGTCCGTTGCCCTTCCCTGATCGTAAATAGCCCTTTGCCTCTTAATGTCTGTCTACTTATATTCTATAATGTCCTGCATCGGGCTGCTTATGTACACCCTATGCCCATCCTCCCTTCTCTAAGCTGTGCTCCTTAGCGGTGTGTTTACGATGTGTCCTTTATTGAAAGTGTTCATTATTCCTACCTTAATTGCTACCGTCCCTCTCATCTGTTTATTTGTTTTTGTCCTTTTTTTTCGCCCAACCCCCCCCCCCCCCCCCCCTACTCCCCCCCGCCTATTCCCCCACCCCTTCTTGCTACTATACCAGTTTGTGGCCATCTACCTTTCTTCTCGTACTTCTCCCCCTCAACTGCTTTTTCCGTGTACTCTAGCCCCGCATCACTATCATCCTGCCCCCAGCTTTTTTTTTTTTTTTTTCGGGGAGGGAGGAAGGGGTGGCGTTTAAAGTTTGCACCTTCTATTACCATCCCCTTCCCCATTTTTTCTAGGCAAAGGATGGAAAACCATGGAATACCTGAGGGGTCTTTCCACTCCTCAGGTATTCCATCCTTGTAAAAACACCAACTTTCTGTCTAGATACAGGAATATTGTCCGGGTGTTCTATTCTGTTGAAGATGGTAGTCACGACTTCCGAAGCAAGAACAGAACTGAGGTGGCGAGACTGAAATCACTCCAGCCCAATAATCCTTCTCAAGCGTCAACATCATCGTCTCATTTAATCCTTACACACATGGACAAGAAACTGAAATTGTGTCCAGACTCCAGAGACATCCACGATTATCTTGTTCCCATTCTGGAGAGGAGACGGAATAGGAAGAGAATATGCTACCAACTTGGCAGTGAGGTGGGGGAATCTATGAGATTTACGAATTGAAATCCTCACAGATTATGATGTCCATAATACCTCGAAATTGGAAGTCAAAGCAGTGGGAGAACAGTGATCAAGAAACGACACGCACACACGCACCCACACCCATACCTCTCTCTCTCTCTCTCTCTCTCTCTCTCTCTCTCTCTCTCTCTCTCTCTCTCTCTCTCTCTCTCTCTCTCTCTCTCTNTCTCTCTCTCTCTCTCTCTCTCTCTCTCTCTATCTATCTATCTATCTATCTATCTATCTATCTATCTATCTATCTCACACACACACACACACACACACACACACATTGGAACTCTTATTTGCTCTTCCACTCCACAAACATGGGAAGGACGGAGGGTGGAGGATGAAGAAGAGGGGGGGGAAGGGGTATGGGAGTGGGAGGGGGAGACGGAGGGGGAGGGGACAAAGACACACAAGCAGGATTGCTAGGGCAGCACACTAATAGCTGAAGGCAGTAGCGAAGTACCTCCTCTGTAACATCATCTCCACTCGCACGGCTTCTTTCTTGTAGAGAACGAAGACAAGGATTCTGTTCCTGAAAGTGTCCAAGAAGTTACACAACAGTAGCAACAATGTACGTAAGACACACCGAAGGTGAACTGCCAGAGAGAATTATCAGTTTCCCTCTTTCATAACTTCAGGTTAGGCTTTGCTTGCTTCTTAAGCATTTGCCGTCGTTTTTTGTGCAGCAAAGAGTGCATTAAGTTGGCAACAACAAGGACTACAAGAGCCAGACAAAGAGCTCTGCTCGCCCACTAAAAACCACCAGGGAAAAAAAAAGAATTCCACTCGCATACCTGATTAATCGAATAGCAATCACCGAATAACACACAGTGACTCTCAACATCAAACTGCTCGATATCAGAATATGGGAGAGCCACTGCCTGATGTGGAGGAGTTGGACTCTTCCCCATCAAACTCCTCTCCTCCATATCAGAAGCTGGATTCTCATATCCATTTATTCTCTCTTCTACCCAGTTCATAATTTTAAAGACTTCAAAAAGTTTAATCCCAGTTACGTGCAGGCATCAGTTTTTAACTTTTTATCGCTACCCTCAGTAACTTTTGCCTTGCCAAAACCTCTGGGTCTATGGACTCGATTGGCGTTACCATCTTCTTCACCCGCATAGAACGCCCGGTCATTATAGCTGTATTTAGGCCAACTTTTCGTCTAAGATGCAGCGATAATGACCGCGTGTTCTATTAGGGTGAAGACGGTAGCATCCATTCCGAACAGAGATCATCTCCAGCCGGGGATTGCGTCACATGATCAGAAGGTGGATCAAAGTCAGTCGGAGTAGGGGAGCAATCGGGGCAAGGTGGATTGCCTCATGTGTTGTAAATTGTCATGACAACAGCCCCTGTTCCACCCAGATGAGCAGATCCAAAACAGAAGCAGGTTTACCTCTATTGCAGACAATGAAGCACACTTGAGGTGAGCCAATCCAACAATGAGACAGTTTTACCTCTATAGCAAGCAACATGGAGCAGAATAGATCCGTTGTATACCTTTCTTGACCATCTTTCTTTGGTGAACCCCCTTCATTTGCCTTGTGTGTCTGTGTGTGTGTGTCTGCGTGTACGAAATGCTCTCTTATGAGCAAAGTGATAATCTCTCTCTTCTTTGCTCTTTGCTATCATAATTAAATTAGATTAATGTTATGGCAAGTGCCCATGCGATGCGGACACCAATTTTCCAAAACGAAAAAGCTAATAGAAGAACAACCAATCTCAGTGGCCGCAAATCATCCCGGCGGGCAGACCCTGCTGACAAGAATTCGCACCCTGTGCAAAATAGGTGCAGGGCAGGGATTCTTGATCGTGGTCACGGCCCCCTTATGACCCCCTTAGCCATTAGGGAGAACAAAGTGGGCCGGAAGGCCCACAGACTTTGAAAAAAAGAAAATGAAAGGCCCGATGTGGACCCGCAATCTCCAGCGATCGCATCCACACTGCGCCTTTTCAAATTTGATTTCAAACTCCCGACAGTGCCGGGGGGGGGG